TCAGGCATGCAAGACAAGCGCTCTACCACTGAGCCACCTTCCCAGCCCTGTGTGCATGTTTTTGTGTGTGTATTTTTGCGGGTTTTGTTTTTTATTTGCCAGTCCTGTGGCTTGAACTCAGGGCCTAGGCACCGTCCTTGAGCTTCTTTTGCTCAAGGCTAGCACTCTACCACTTGAGCCACAGCGCCACTTATGGCTTTTTTTGTTAATGGGGTACTGAGGAATCAAACCCTTCATGCATGCTAAGCAAGCACTCTACCACTAAGCGACATTCTCAGCCCTGTGTGCATGTTTTTGTATACATAGATGTGCATGCATGTGTGTGTGTGTGTGCATGATTGTGAGTCCCTGAGCTTCCCTGGAATGCAGCAGCGCGTGCACCCAGCATTCTGTTGGCAGGTTCTGTGGCTGCGGCTGCAGCTGATCTTGATGAGCAGGTCTGGGCCTTGATCCCAGACAAGTGCAATCCTAATTAGTAACTGTGTGAACTTGGAGTCTACTAGCTGCCCTCCACTTTGTCTTGCGTACCTGGGTCTCTTGCTTTGCCCAAGGTTGTCAAGAAGGTCCTCCAAAGTGTCTGAGGGAATGTCCTCAGTAGTGAAAGGGCCTCCATTGCTATGTGTGCCAGTGAAACTTTATTCATGGACACTGCATGTATGTGTCATACTCTGATCACTTGCTGCAAGGTAATTGTTTGGTTTGTCCCAGCCATTTAGAAATGAAGGACAGGGAGAATGATAGGAGTTTTGGCATTGATCAAGGTACATTGGACATATAATCTGATCATGAATTGAACCCCCAGAGTTGTGGCATTGATCAAGGTACATTTGACATATAATCTGAACATGGAATTGAACCCCTTTATACAGCTACTTTAATAAAAGACTTTTTTTTTTGTCGGTCATGGGGCTTGAACTCTGGGCCTGGGCACTGTCCCTCAGCTCTTCAGCTCAAAGCAAATGCTCTACCATTTGAGCCACAGTGCCATTTCTGGTTTCCTGGTGGTTTGTTGGAGATAAGCGTCTCACTGAGGGGCTGGGAAGGTGGCTCAGTGGTAGAGCGTTTGCCTTGCATGCATGAGGCCCTGGATTCAATTCCTCGGCACCACATAAGCAGAAAAAGCCAGAAGTGGTGCTGCAGCTTAGGTGGTAGAGCGCTAGCCTTCAACTGAAGAGCTGAGGGACAGCGCCCAGGACCAGAGTTCAGGCCCCATGGCTGGCAAAATAAAAAAGACTTTCCTGCCCTTGGCTGGCTTTGAACTGCGATCCTCAGATCTCAGCCTCCTGAGTAGCTAGGATACAGGCGTTAGCCACCAGTGCCCAGCCACATAAAGTTTTAAAAAGAAATGCAGGAAGTGGCGCTGTGGCTCAGAGTTACAGAGCACTAGCCTTGAACAAAAAGAGATCAGGGACAGTGCCCAAGCCCTGAGTTGAAGGCTCCCAGACACACACTGACAAAAAGAAAAAATTAAAAGGAAATACATCAGGACTGGGAATGTGGCTCAGTGGTAGAGTGTTTGCCTAGCATGCATGAAGCCCCGAGTTGGATTCCTCAGCACCAAATAAACAGAAAACGCTGGAAGTGGCGATGTGGTTCAAGTGGTAGAGTGCTAGCCTTGAGCACAAGAAGCTCAAGGACAATGCCCAGGCCCTGAGTTCAAGCCCCAGGTCTGGCATTTAAAAAAAAAAAAAGAAAGAAAGAAATGCAGGGAACATTCTGGAAGTCTGTAAGAGAGCAAGGAGAAGATCTGATTTGGCCTGGGACAAGAGCTGAGGGTTGCGATGGGAGGCCCTCCCTGCAGTAACTTCCAACCTCTCCTAGCAGCCACTGCATCTCTAAGGAGGCTCAACCCAGTCTCCTTGTTCTCAAGGGTGGGGTGCTCACCCTGCATTCCCCCTCCAACCTCACCCCCCCATACCCTCAAGTAGCTGGCACTACACCTCCCCTGGTCAGTTGGAGCTTCTCTCCTAACTGACCCTCTGTCTGTTTTTAGTTGTCAGGTTTCAGTCTCCTCCTGGGTCAGATGTCACGGCCATCCCCATGGGGTAGGTGAAGGCGGCAGTGGTCAGCCTGTCCCCTGCCACCAAGCCACCCCAGCACACCGTGCCTGGCCGCAGGGCAGCCATGGTGGGAACTGCGCTGCTCTGCACTGAGGTGCCTTTCATGCCCCCGTCACTTCCCTGAGCCATCACCTCCATCACCACCATTTCACCCCAGCCACCTGAGTAAGATTGCTGATAACCTGATTTGTCATCAGCTCTTGTTGCAGTGCTGATAATTACATCAGAAACAGGGCCCAGCCGTCCTTCCCACCATTTCTGTGGGCTCAGTCGCAGACATGGGATTCTTGTCACATGGCTCCTTGTCACATGCTTTATGTGCTCAGCACACGTAGCCGCATGCCTAGACACCCACCTCCCAACAGAGATGGCTGACAGCAACCCGGCAGCTTCCTCTCACAGCCTCCTTCACGGACAGCCGGGGGCCAGGAAGGGGCCAAGACCCAGGGGAGGTGCCACGAGGCAGGGAGAATCTCTGAACCTGGGGAAGCCAGTGTCCTGTCCTCAAACCAGGGAGTATTTGACTATCCTGTGGGTAGGACACCCCCACAGGCTGCCCAGGTCTCCCTCTTGCCTGGGCCCCAGAATCCCTCTGGGAAGGAACCCAAGCCCTGTGCTCAGGAACCCTAAGCCTGTGACCCTCACTTAGAACCCCTGTGAAGATGGTACAAACAAGCTCCCCCTTCTTGGGAGCAAGTCAGGGTGTCACTGTTCAGCCCCATGCTCCTAGAAGAAGGGGTCCAGAAGCCCCAGGGGGCACACATGGGAAGTCAGATCTTAATCTTTATGGCCACAAAAGGCAGTTTTGTTTTTGTTCTCGGGTGCTGGGGGGCAGTGGAGAAGCCAGACAATCTGCGGACAGAATCAGCACTACCCAGGCAGAGGGAGACTCTCAGGCCCTCCTCCTCAGTTTCCCTGTCTATAAATGAGTTGACAGGTGACTTGCCCATGGACAGGAATTTGCCTGTGATGGACACACAGCCCTACCCCCCTCAGGATTAGCCAGAAAAGACCCTTCTGCCTCCCAACCCCCCCCAAGGGACATGGCTGCATGTCCCCTTTGGTACAGGGGCATTTCCAGTTGTCATGACTGGCGGGAGGAAGCCCGCCCTGGTGAGCACCAGGCCTGCCCAGAACAGGACCCCGGTGCCAGGTGCCACAGGGACTGGGTAAAAACTGCTTTTCCAGGAAACACGTCTTCCTGTCCTGTGTGCACGTTGGTGACAAGACTTCAGGACCACGTTTAGCAGCCACCAAGGAGCGTGGTCCCCACGGCCCTCCCGTGCGTCCCTGTCCGTGCTTCCCCGGGTCCGAGGCCTCGCGTTAGCCCTCAGCCCTGCGGGGCGAGCGCTGGGCCGGCATCTGACACCGAGGCTGGGCACGGCAGGACCCCCGCGCCGCGCCGCCCCA